TTGGTTCCTTGATCTTTTAAAATGTGGGTTTAATTTTCTAACCATAACATCATCATCATCATTATCATGATATAAGATAGGGATGTGAAAGAGAGAAAAGGAAGAAGAGGGATGGATTGACTAGAAAAGAGGGAGAGCAACTGAGTAAGCAAGAAGGGATAGGGAAATCAAATAATTAAAACAGAGAAAAACTCGTGCTCTATTTGGATGGAAGAAAAGTTGGGAGGAAAAAAAAAGAGAGAGAGGAGAAAATAGGGAAAAAGGCAACTGGAAAAAAGATGATGTCATCCTTTTTGTTTGGATAGGTGAGGAAAAATAACAAGAAAAAAATGAGCAAATATCTAAATGACTAGAATATTCTTATCAAAATATATCATATTTAAAATTAAATCAAATTAAATATTATAATAGAAAAATTATACTAACATTAACATCATCAAATAACTCAAAATCAAGTTATTTGATTTATATATATTGATATTATTATATTTTAAAAACAAATTATTTAATAAAAATATTGTTTTAGGATAAAAAATTAAAAAGTGAATAATTTTTTAAATATAATAAAAAAAAGAATATGGAGAAGAAGAGAGATAAGAGGCAATCATGAAAATCTTATTTTCCTTTCCGATTAAGTCTATATATCGAGAGAAAACTTGAAAAGAAAATGAGGCTTTCTCATTTTCTCCCCTACTTTTCCTTTCTCTTACATTTTCTTTTCTATCCAAGCAAAAAAAAAACTTATTTCTTATCAAGTTTTCTTTCTAGTTTTCTTTCCTCCCTGATTTTTTCTCAATCCAAGCAAGGGTCACTACTCAATATTATTTAATTCATAAGGTATAAAAAAAATACCAAAACAAATGTGTCGAAGTGCTATTCCTCAACCTAACTCTAGAAGTTAATAACAAAACCTTCTAGAATTTCAAAATTAAATGCAGATAACAAAACAATCAAATTAAAATTAAAACTAGATATTCCCTAATAATTTTAAGTATATAAAATACTTGAAAATTCTAATTAATCATTACTCAAAATCTCATAACATTATATTTATTAACAAAAAATACTGATATTAAAAATTAAGATGTTGACAAAATACTTAAATATTAACATATTAAGTTTAATTTTTTAAAGAGAACAATAATTGTTATAAAAAAGCATCATTTAAAACAAATGATATTGGAATTAGAGAACTAAAAATGTGCATAAAAAAAGAAAACTAAAAATATAATTTTATAAAATTAAGGAATCAAAGTAAATGGTCAAATAAAATTAAAAGACGAAAAGCATAATTCTACTATAACAAAATTTAATATCATTTAACAAAAAATATCCTTATATTAAAATACTATAGTACTTGAGTTCCATTTATTGTTATTTTTACTTATCAATGGCCCAATGTGAACCTTTTGAAATAAAACTAGAACTATGAACTGGCAATGATATAATAAAAAATAAAACTATGAGGTGTATCAAACTCTTCTAATGAATTTAAAAAATAGGTGCACAAAAACAAACACAAGCTTTTAATGAAAACTTAATGATGAGCTCATGAAATTCAAGAGAGATTATACATATATATTTGGAGGGATTCAAGTCTTCACCTCTACTCAATACTGTCCCTACCTTTCTCTTCGTGTAGTTAAAAAATTATAATTTTTTATATATAAAATACATATTTATATATTCTTCTCGTTCTATACAAATTAAAAAAAATTTTAAATTTTATTAACTTTCATTTAAAATTATTAAATTATTAAATTTTATTTTTATTTATTATATATTATACTTTATCTAAACAAAGTGAATATAATAAAAAATAAAAAATAAAATTATATAACTATACAATTATGGGTGTTTGGGAAGGAAGTGCAGAAATTTTTGTGCGATGCGGTTGGAATGTTTTGGAAGGTGGCACTTTCTCTTACATCCAGACAGACCAAAAGAGGGCTCCCCAGTCCCCACGCTCACAGCTGTCAACTTCCTTTATATGCGTGTGTTTATATATAATATAATATAATGATTATAATATAATAATTTTATATTTATATTTAATTAACCTATGACTTGCATTTAGTCCCATGCAGCACTATTTTTCTTTTAACTAACCCTTATTTGGCATGAGGAAAAGTAGAAGCAATTTTAGAACCCGTTTGAAATAGTTTATAAATGGTTTTTTAATAGTGTTTATAAAATACGAGATAAATATGTGAGAGGAGTTTTGTCTTGATTTATGTGAAATGTGTTTAGAGGAAATTTTTTAAGCTTTTCCAAACAGGCTCTTAATAAGTTTGATTTGAAAATTTGAAAATGTAGGATTATGAAATTTTAATAAAGATAGGAAGCAAAATAAAAAAAATAAATTATAGCTTTTAGTCCTACTTTAATTTTCAAAACAAGCCCATTAAAACTTCTCCCATTCCCTTTTTTTTCTTGAACCATAGCGAACTTAAATCTGGCGTTTAGACATGACACACCACTTGAGGTACACCCATACCATTCAAACTTGAAAGCTTATTAACAGGCCATTGAAAGTATTATTTTTTATTCTAAGTATAAGAGATATATAAGAAATTTGTTTTGATAATAAATATAAAATCTTAATTTATTTTATTTTTTAAATTTATAATACTATTAAAGTATTGCTATTGATTGTATATAATAAGGGTTTTTTGTTAGAAGATAATTCAACACACATGATTAGAAAGGATATTTTAGAAAAATTAACACATATTTGTTATAGATAACTAATTTAACTAATTTTTTTATAAAAAATTTAATAAATTAGTTATTTACCTCTTATATTAAAAGGTTGAGAGCCGTAAAGGGAGTAAGAAGTTAATCATTTTAATGGATTTTGTTTTATATGTACCACTCAAATTCTTATCACAATATACCTCTAAGTCTCTAACCATCTCATCAAAAGCAAGAAAATGTGATTATATGCTTAAATTTATTTGAAAATGAGAAGAATTTAAATATTACCTATATTTAATGGCATAAATTGTATTTAAGAAGTTATTGAAATTGCAATTAAATTTAAGTGAGATTTTAAAAAAATACAACTAATACCTTAATTCTACTTATTTATAGAATAAAAGCCTCTAGCACTTTCAACAACATAAATTTGTTGATATTAGATTTTTTTTTTATTGAATTGAGTTGATATTGGTTAATGATGAATGATTAATTAAATAACTTCACCAACCACCCTTTTGCCTTTTCCTTCCTATTATTGCTCTCTCTCTCTCTCTACCCCTCATTTTTCAAATCATTCCCATTTCTCATTCTTCACAAAGTTCACATCTCTTCCTCCCCCTAGTTATTGTCGGCGTGTTCATTTGAAAATATTATCTGAAATGATCAACTATTTTTTTTTACAAATATTTTAAAAATTTTGAAACCCCTTTGACATCTTAGAATGGTCAACAGTTGGGTAAAATTGAAATGATTTAGTATTAACTTTTAGAAACACTTGGTAATAATTCTAAAAAGTATATATTCATAATGTTCAATCTCTACATTCATTTTAAAGTTTTAAGATATTTTTAGAGCATGCAATTTATGAATTTGTGTTTTGCATAGAATTCGAAGTTAATTATACTGTTTATTACTAGTATTTATCAATAGTGTGATTTTCCATAAATTTTATACTATTATTTATAGATTTATTATTAAAATTTTTAAGTGAACTTTTTTAAAACTAGGTTGTATTAAAATATCTAAACAATTATGCAGAAGTGTAAAATATGTATAAAACAACATTATTTGTCCAATTTTTTTCTCACTTTCTTTCTATATTCTTTTTGAAAATAGATATTAATTAATCAGTCAAAATTATAAACTAAAATAGTATTGACACAACAAGTTAGTAAAAATATTGACTCTTTCTTATAAGCAATATATAATTAGAGAGTTTTCTTCTAAAATACACGCAGCTACTCACATAACTAACAGAAAACCAAATAAAATTTGAATAATTCCTTGTACCCTAACTTCTCCAAAATTTTGTTGGTCCAAAATAAAAAAAAGTACTTCTAAGTTGTAAGAAAAAACTATTAAATTTTGATTAACGCAATAAAAAGAAGAAACATTTCAGGAATGCATTTATTTAGGTTACAATAGAATGTAAGCCTTCCACATACTAAACCATTCATTCCTCAGTCCATTAATTCTTCAGTCAATCATTCAAAACACCTTGCTTATGACTCTCTAGTTTGTTAATTCATAAAATACTTCCATCGATAATTATTTTTTGATTCATTATTTCAATTGATATTAATTATGAATTCTTTTAATTTTGTTGTTAATAAAAATAACCCTGTTTTTATTAACGTGAAATTGGTATCTTTCTTGTTTCATAAATTAGCTATCCAATTGGCAACGCTAAACATAAATTATACTAAGTTTGATATTGATGTAATTGTATTCATCATTATATTAAAAATAAAATTTAGTTTTACCCAATTTTTTCAACAAAAAGAAATTGATAAATCAGGGGGAAAAAAAGAAATTGATAAACTATTTCCATAATGGATATAGAAATATCACATGAAAAGAATATACTCTTTATTCTTATCAAATATAATATATTTTGGAAAATTAACCTACTATATTCTTTTAATTTTTAAATAATTTATTTCCTTCCACTATATGGATGTAAATTTAACCAAGTATAAAAATTTAGAATGCTAACATTTTAAATTTTAAATTTTATTTCAAAACCCCCCAAAAAAAATCAAGCTACTTAATTTTTTCTTTGCCAGCAATATATGATTAATAAAAAAAAATTGAACACTCACTTCAATTTAAAGTTGGTGAGAGGTGGAAATTATAGTTTATTCATGCTTGTTGCAAATCAGCAATATTTTATTTTGGTTTATGGTCCCAATATTTTAATGCTTCACTTCTTTTGTTCATCATCAAAGACTAAAAGCGTTTTATACAGCAACCAAACAATTTTCCATTTCCCTTTCGCCCCTTCTCTCTCCCCCCTTCCCCTTCTCTCTCTCTCTCTCTGTTCCTCACACACACAGCCTCACTGCCTTTCTGTCTTTTTTCCTCTTTCCCACACAGGTCCATCTCCAGTGGCCATCTAGGCATCTACAACTCTAGAAACTTATCTCCTCTCTTTCCCCCTCCCCCCATCTTGCTCTCTCTTTCTCAGACCCAGATTGTTTTCATTTCCTCTTCACAGAATTTGTTTCTCATCCTTTTGGTGTTTACCCCAACATAGCCTTATTCTTCCATCATTCATTTGTTTCATCTTCATCCTCCTCAGTCCTTTGCTCCAACTATAGAAAATCCACCACTATCCTGCCGCTTTCACCACAAAGCACCTTCCTTTTCACACCCATCCATCGTTCTCATCGTTTTCCCGAGTCATCAATCATCAGCCTCCAGATTTAGTTGAAATGCAGGCTGTTTGGGGACTGTTTAGCCCCTGATTCTTCATTTTACTGCTACCCTTTGGTGCTCCCATTACTCCAGTGATACGCACTTATGATTTTCTTGAAGATTATCGGCTTCCAAACGATCCTGAAATTTGGAGTTTTCACTGTAGCTGGGTATCGTTGCTGTCGGTTTTGAAGGTGATTGTGTGTTCAGCTGCAGCAAGATGCTTTAGGGCTTTCATCTGAAACCCAGTCCTGCAATTTTCAGGTATTTAGTGAGTGGGTCAAGGATCTTGCTTCTGAATCTGTGTTACTGTGCTTGCTTTTGAATTCAGAATCGCTATATCCACTGGTTTCTTTTGGACCGTTTGAGCTTGAGGAGGAAGATTAAAGGTTTTATTATCTCGTGTTAAACCTGCTTCTGACTCAATTATTGCATAATGGCGAAGAATAAGGGAGGGTTTGATTTTGCTGAGGAATGAAATGCCCAGAAGATTCCCAAGTCAAAGTCTTTGGCATTGCCTCTGAGTGCTTCTTTTAAAAGGATTCTACTTCTGAAAGCAAAAGCCAGTCCTGAAAGGAAACAAGGGCCGTAACGGTTGAAACCTTCAAAGCTGCTTTAATAGCCTCTGGGGAGAATATTTCTCTTTACCAACCTTCCGTTTTATGTTATTTTTTCATTCATTAGATCAAAACGTGCCTGCCAATTGTAGATGTTGAAGCGTCCTGGAACAAATTTATTGCGTATCACTTAGCTGTTCCGTTATAATTCTTTGAGATTTGAGGCTCTCAGGTATAATACTGGGATTGACATATCTGGGTATCTCCAAGCAGATAGCTACAAACCCACACCATTACAGAGCGACATTGAGCTGAATTGCCAAAATTCTCAAAGCATCGATGGGACTTCGCAGAAGTCTCGCGATGCTTGTGCTTGTTCTGCTGCTATACTTTGAATGGTTTCCTCATGCGAAAGCTCAGTCTTCTGCTACAAATGGCTCATCAAGAAGCGCAAGGGACCTTGATGCACTTCTTCAAGATTATGCTTACATGGCTTTGATGAGACCAGTGACAGGAAAAATTTATGATGGGACTGTACCTTCCAATTTGACTGGAATTAATATTGCAGCATTGAGGCTAAGAAGTGGCAGTTTGAGGAGAAGGGGTGTTGATAAGTACAAAGAGTTTAACATTCCTATGGGACTTATTGAGACGCCATATGTAGTAAGACTTGTTTTGGTGTACCAAAATCTGGGCAATTGGTCACGTACGTACTATCAGACTCAGTTGCCAAATTATACATTCTTGGCTCCTGTACTGGGGCTTCTTGCTTATGATGGCACTGATTTGTCTGCTACAAACCTGCACGAACTGAATATAATTGCATCTGGTGACCCCATTTCGATTAAGTTTGATGGTGTAAGGCAAGCTCCCGATGGTGCTGTTGCAAGATGTGTCTTGTTTGACTTACAGGGTTCATTCAATTTTAGCAATGTCACAGAAGGTAACACATGTTCAACTTCCCAACAGGGCCATTTCTCTATTGTGACTGAGTCCATCGGTCCCTCTCCATCGCCTGCACCCGGTCCTGGTGCTCCAGTAGTGCCCCCGGCTCCTAGTGAGCGAGCAGAGAAGAAGAGTAGCAGGAAAGTGGGGATTATTGTTGGGTCGGTTTTGGGTGGACTGGCCCTTCTGGTGTTATTGTCATTACTGGTTTTGTGGGTGCAGAAGTTTAAGAAAAAGAAGAGAAGGCAACAGATGGAAAGGGAAGCAGAGGTGGGAGAAGCTCTTCATATGGCCCCTATTGGGGATACGAAAGCTCCTGCTGCATCGGGTACTCGAACACAACCGGCCCTTGAACATGAATATGCGCCATGAAAAAACACTATTTTTGCAGAATCTTGGGATGCTCATCTTCTTCTTCCACTGTATTCAGGAATTCTTCTGATCACTCACACCTTTTTTTGGTGGTGTTGTCTTTCTTTTTCCCCTCCCCATCGTTTGCTTAGGCTCCTGGGTTTCATAAAATTGTTGGTAATATAGGATTTTTATGTATATCTGCTATCTCTTTGTTGATTCATTGTGGTGTGAATGTAGCAGCAAGCAACCCAAAGTGATTCTATATGTGATGATGATTCAGTTGTTTCATTGACAGAGAATAAAAAAACAATGTAGCTTCTACATTTTGGTCTTACGTTTTCATTTGTCTTCTGCTTTCTCTTCGCTCATTTTTGTGAGGGGGACCAAAGATCTCAAGGCCATAACTTTGTCTCTGAGAAATCTTTGAAGTTCTCTGCACTGGCAATAATATTACTGATGAATTGGGCTTTTTGTAGAAGAATGGTGCATTTAAGATGATTAAAAGGGGAAAAGAAAGGAAGGGAATTGGAACATTAAATTTAAAGTGATGAAATAATTTTGAGCAATAATTGCTAATTAATCCTAGTCTTTTTGTGATTTGTTTTTAAGCGCACAGGTGGGCACAGGAAGGTATAGGGATGACAGATATATACCAAGGCCTTCTGCTGGCGTTTCTGTGGGACCATCTTCTCCTGAAAGGGACATGGTAACCTAAGTCTGGTCTGCAGGACAGGGTGTAAATCCTCATAATTTTAAGAGCATGCACTTCAATCCAGAACTTTTACAGTTCAACTGTATTAATGCACCTGAAGAGCAAAAAGGAAAAAAGAAAAAAAAAAAGGTGTAACAAGAGGAAATAAAATGTCCCACTTGGAGTCCCTGCAAATCAAAAAAATACGGTAACATATTTACTTTTTATTACAATTTTCCTCTTTTACGTCCTATTCAATATTGGAGGAGGAAAATATGAAACAAGTTTTAAGGATGTTTTAATACGAGTAAAGTAGGAAACTCTTTAATTTTCAGACAGAGTTAATGAATCTTAAAAAGTTTTTTTTATTGTTTATTGGTATCTTCTTATTGGTTGGGTATTAAATGTTTAAATGTTAGTTCGAATTAACCCCTTCTTTAGACTAAATCTCTGTAAATAACAAAAGGAATACTTCTTAACATGTAACATAAGATCTTTTCCCCCCTTCTTTTCTTTCTCGCATTGTGTGAGGTTTATGGGTTTTGACTAATCAAATGGGGTGGTTTTCAAGAATCCTATGTCAAAAAGACATCCACATCAAGACTTTAAAGGGCACAAAGAAAAAGGTGACCAACTGTTCATAGCCTCTCTGCACTAACAATTTGAGCATTGAAGTTTTAATTTTGAGGACAGATGGAAACCAACCAAGGCAAAGGAATCCAGTTTTTTTCTGCTTCTATTGACTAAAATGCTCGTATTACTTACGACACAGTAGTTTGAATTATATGAAAAATATACTGCATATGTTGTTGTCTGTCTATGTTGTGTTATCTGTCTCATGTCTTAACCAAGAAGACAAAAAGGCCGTTGTTTATTTATTTCACCGTTCTGTAAGATGTGTTTGTTTGATATTTTTTACATGGGGTTGCTTTCCAGGATCCCACGTCAAACGATGAATCCGGATTCTTTAGAAGAGTCGTAAATTGACAGAATATACAGTGAAGTCAAAAGGGGAAGGAATTTAAGGCCTTGTTTGGTTGGATTGAGGGGCCGGATTTTTAATAGGATGGAAATATGTGAATGGAATGAAGATAAGTATGAGGAAAAAATTATGAAAATACTTTGATGAGTAATGCTTGGTGCCAAAAAAAGAGGAATAAAAATAATTTAAAATAAAATGACTAAATTGCCTCTCTCTCTTAAATCATAGAATAACTTGATAAGGGTCATTTTCGACTTTATGTAAGGATTTTAAGATAGCATGTTAATTTTCCTTCTGTTCAACTATAAAAATCAATTGTGTGTTAAAAATGGTGCTGAAAATTAGTAAGTCAGTTATTTGCAAAAAAAAAAAAAGTGTATTGATTTTCTAAAATACCCTTTCAATCATTTGCATTAAAAATCACCACAGATAAAAAACCCTCAATAAGTGCAATAAATAAAGATAATTTTGAAAACAAATTATAAATTTGAGAGACAAAGTAGATTAATGTCTTACATTAAAATAAAAAAAATCCTTCATAAGCTCCTATATTTAGAACCAAAAGAGTATTGGTATTATTGAACAAAATAAGTTTAAGCGAAGCTTTCTACATATAGTCAAATTTTTATTGATTATACGATTTCATGACTATAAAAAATCTAACTTGTAGAAGAGGTCAATGTAAAATATAAATTCCTAGTAAATAACATCTTTTATAAATTACAATAATATGGCTGCTAAAATATATGTTTAGTCAATATGAAGGTAAAAAGTGGACTCCATCCACAGTTTTACCCCTTCATAGTACTTTGTCTAAATCCATGATTATTACATAATCACACATACACGCAAAAAAAAAAAGATTTAATGAGACTATAACATATGCATATGAAAAATCAAAAGGGGTTGAAGGTAATAGAGAGTGAAGACATAATATGACAGCACATGAAAGCCAAGCAAAGGAATCCACTTCTTCATCTCTGTGACTCTCACATGTGAACTTTAATACTTGTTTTTGTCTTTCTTCCTTTGCTTGCCACTCACAACTACAAAACACTACACATCTTCAATTTCTTGTCATTTCCTATAAAGCTCCCTCCTTTGTCCTTTTAATGCATTTTATATATAAGGTAAGCTCTGTCACATTATTGTCACTAAGCATGGCTCGAAGTTAGTGCTTAATCTCAATATAATACGCAAGAAAAAGCACAGATCATTTCACAAAAATGAAGAAGAGGGGATTACAACTCAGCCCCACCAAAACAACCTTATTGAACCATTCCCAAACTTGCAATTTTTTGTCCTCTTAGATAAAGTTCAAGAGCAGTGGAATTACCTACAAAAGCAACCACATTTTTGGCTCAATCATATATATTTTCTCCAATGCTAAATGCATCTGTACGACTAAGATAACTAGTTTACGATGATTAATACAATTATTTAAGTTAGTTATTTATTAAAAAAAGTATGTTTATCTCTCTAAAATATTTTAACCATTTGTATATAAAACTATTCTATCAATTAAAAATATTCTTTTAATATGTGTGATAATAGGAAAAATTTAGAAAAAATTATAAATTTGAAAGACAAAATAGATTAAGATATTATATTTAGAATTAAAATAACCCTTAAATTAGCTCTTATATTTAGAATCGAATGGAGTAACAATTACAAAATTATGCACAAACACACACATTTAGGTTAGCAAGGTGTGGTGGAGACTTCACAACTCAAAGAATGCTTACATATTACCTATCAACAACATCTTCATTAATGATATAATTTAAACAAATGCTTCTATAAGAAATGAATCGTATCATTAATAACTATATCAATTTTATTCATTAAATTATACTAATATTTATTCTACCATTAAAAATATTCAGCTCATATTTATAGTTGTCCTTGACCAAATAGAGAAGTTTACAAACAAAAGAACTTTGTTTTTCTTTGTGACTTTTACCTACTGATTCTTGACTCTCTGTGGCAGGACTTTTCATATTAAAGCTTTATGGGATGGGGTCAACTTTCTTCTCCTCCTCTTTGCATGTCTTGTGAGGTTGTTGTGCTGTCAAAGCCAAACGTGTTGTATTGCAGAAGACAAGGACCTTCTTGTTCTGCCAATGGGAATATCCCGAGAAATCCACAAGCAAACTGACAGAAAATGAAACATGTTTGATGATTGAAAATACTCAAATGAAATTCCTCTCCAAGGTTTTGAGCTGTAATTTTTCTCTTGCGTGGATCAAAGTTAAAACAAGTTTGAGTCTTTAGAGCTCAATTAAATGAGGATACATCTCATAGTTCAAGGGGTTTTACCTTTCTTTTAAATGAGGTGAAAATAGTAGAGAAGAAAATAGTGTTTTCCTTCTTTCTATTTGGATAAATAGAAGAAAATATAGAGAAAAAATGACCAATTTTATAATGACAACAATACCCATATAAAAAAGACATAGCTTCACATGTCTTTTATTCTCTTTTAAGACCATTTTGGAAGGTATGTTTATTTTTAAAATATCTTCATTTTTGAAAGAAAAAAAACATCGGGAGAACAAATTATGGTCCCTATATCTCTTTTTCTTCTTCATTTTTTTTAATTTTCTCTTCCTAATTTAAATAAAAATAATAATTTTATCTTGTTTCTTCCCTAGTTTCTCTTCTCATACTTTTCTCTTCAGTCCTAAAACAAGTAACATGCCACTAAGACTTGTTTGATAAAAATTACTTAACATTTGATGCTATTATGTTAGGTTTGAATATGGTTATACCTTAATAAAAGCACTGAAATGAGATTGTTGAGGTTGGTTTTGCAGGAACAAATAAGTTGCCAATAATAAGAGCCATTATTT